ACACTCATTTTTCAGTTAAAGGCAGTTCATCATTGAATTCAGTGATGTCTTCATTCAGCTCAGTTCAGTTTAAATAGTATATTTGCAATCAAGTCAACGATATCGCTGGAAATGAAGTGTCCCCAACTAAGCAAGCCAGAGGAACCAAAACTCCATCGGTGACAGAATGGAGAAAAAACCTTGGGAGAAACCAGGCTCAGTCCTCTGGCCGGACGAACCAGCTGTTCAATTCCAGGCTGCAGCAAAGTCAGATTGTGCAGAGGACTCATCTGGTTCCTGTGGTCTTGTCCCGGTGGCCGTCTAGGAGACAAGGGGCCTCATTTATAAAATGTTGCATATAAACCGTCCTAAATTTGTTCTAAGATCGTTACTCAAAAGTGTGTAAGTGTGATTTCAGAGAAAACGCCTCTCTTCCAGATGTTACATTTATAAATCGCAAATGATCTTGAAATTGTGCACAGCTGACTGGTGTCAGATCTCCGCCTTGTAAACGCCCCCTAATTAATATCATTACCATATAAAAGAGCACACGCCAATATCCGAATTTCTATGCTTGAGAATGACAAGCACAAAGAAAAGAAAAAAAAACTTTACTGAGTCTGAAATTGAGGTCCTGCTGGCGGAGGAAGAGGTTCGTGCAGGGACGCTTTTTATGTAATAATGTGTAATTATTCTGTGAACAAACTGTGTGTGTGTGTGGTTATATTTTTTTCTATTGACTATTATCAAAATGACTTCTTCTAGAAACAACAGAAATAATAATAATATTAATAGTAATTATAAAACAATTAGGTTTCCAAAAGTAAGAATAAACTCATTCAAGAACCATTTTCAGTCATCTTATAAAAAGTGAGCCATCCTACTTTTAAAATCACTTGCTATGACAACTAATAAAAAGTTTAGTATCACGAAATTCTTGCAAAACTTTAAAAAAACATTCTTGAAAGAAAAATTGGACGTTTCATTCCATAATAAAATAAATTATTACACGATTATGGTCTCCGGTCTGAAAAAACCTGCATGTGATTTAACATTTCTTTATATTTACACAGTTTACTAATGCTGCTCAAATGTGCCATTAATGTACTGACACAAAAATATATAGTGCATTTTATACAAATATAACTTATGTAAATGACAAAAACAAAGTTTAAGGCTGATGT